TCGTCACTCACTCTGCAACAGTGGTTGTTATTGTAAAGTGGAACTAACATTAAAGCCCTCTCCGTGCTGAGCACATCATCTAAGAGGCCAGTGTCCACCAGGGAAGGCAACCCAGATTTGTTAGGAGAACTGGGGGCCCATTTACATTTTACAGGGATGCTTCCGGGTGCTAACAAGATGGCTGTGCCAAGGGGTGTGTGAGACTTTTGTTCCTTCAAATACACTTTTTAAAGTAACAGCTTTATTGAATTAGAATTCACATCCTATACAACTTGCCCGGRTAGAGTGCATAGTTCTTTGGGGTTTAGTAGATTCCCAGAGCTCTATAGCCACAGTTGCTTTTAGAACATTTTTATTACTTCCAGAAGAAGCCTGTTAGAAAACCCTCCCTATGTCTCCTTCCTCTGGCAACCACCTCCTTTCTTCCCATCTCTTCATTTTCTCATTCTGGACATTATCTGTTGATGGATATCTGGGTTGTTTTCACCTTTGGTTATTCTGTGTAATATCAGATATATGTTTATTTTTTTTTTACTTTTTTTTTTTTTTGTGTGTGTGTGTGTGTGTGTGCAATGCTGGTGATCGAATCCAGGCCCTTGCACTTACTAGGCAAGTCCTCTATCACTGAGTGATATGCTAACCCCAAGACATACTTTCATTGTTGATATTTATTGTACAATGATAATGTAGTCACCTGACTCCTGGCACTAGTATCTGAACCTTAAGAGTCTTAGGAATTATAAAATTATGAAATACCTTTCAAACTAAACTGTGACGTATGAGTCTTTCTTTGTTTCAATCTACATTTAAAAGGTTCTTGTCCTGCTTTGTGGTTTTCATCATGGGGGAGAATTYGAATCCTTCTCAAGAGTCTCCTCTATGCTTTTCACCTGTGTCTTTGGCTGTTTCTTCTCAACTCTTTACCGCTGTTGTTTCCTGGAGTTTCATTTGGATCCTGTCTTCCTGCACATCACCTGTGGCTGGGATGGGTAAATCTTTGTCCCTAGCAGATCTCCACAGCCAGGAGCCCACCAGGCATCCCTAGAAACACTGAATAGCAGCCTTTCTGGCCACAGCAGCAGCCATGAGTGGACAGCAAGAGTGTCTCCTCACTGTGTCAAAAGTGTGCTTGTAGCTGGGCCCAGTGTGCAATCCTGTAATCCTAGCAGCTTGGGAGGCTGAGGCAGGAGGATCACTAGTTCAAAGCCAGCTGCAGCAACAGCGAGACACTAAGCAACTCAGTGAGACCCTGTCTCTAAAATACAAAATAGGGCTGGGGATATGGTTCAGTGGTTGAGTATCACTGAGTTCAATCCCTGGTAGCATCCCCCTCCCCCMAAAAAAAGTGTGCTTGTGTATTCCTGGGAGCCATGAGAAGGGGCCAGTCCTCCCTGTGCCCTGAGTCTATGTGAGGAGAAGCCACACCAGAGGCAATGTAGAAACCTGAGGCAAGGTMGTGGGGGTGTTTGAGGTGGGGAGACAGTGACCAGTTGCTTTCAGAAACTTAGCAGAAAGGATGGTGCTTGTGTGTAAGGAGCTGAGAGCTGGTAGAGCCTCGTGAAGAGACTGCAGTTCCCTGAGGGGTATGATCGTGGTGTGARGACCACTGGAAGGCATTGAAATGTTGTAAATCAAGAAGTGATACAGATGAGTGTTTAGAAAAACCCTGTGACAGCAGCTGGGGTGTGGGCTGGAAGGAGACAAGCCTGAGTCAAGAAGTTCAAGTGGGATTCTTGGGTAGAAGCCCAGAATCCCCTGATGACCTTCACGTATCCCCTATAGCAACTGCCCTGCGCCAGTGCCCACCATCATAGACTGGTTTCTTCACCATGTGAAGATCTCCTTATAGGAAGCACTGTATTTTCTATTTCCCTGTCCTCAGTGTCATGGYATTGCATAGTTGTTGATACAACAGCTGTCAGGTAGGGATCAGAATTTTGTTCTTTTTTGCAGGTTTTAGCCACAGGTGGGCAGTCTGTGGAATGTTAGAGATGGGGTCAGAGCTCCTTCTCTCTCAGCCTGTCCCCCCACCCTGGTGAGGGTGGCAGAGGGAGCTTCCCAGGGAGCCAGCTGTCTTCACCCTCAAGCAGCAGCACCTTAGAAGTGTCAGGGCTCCTCCCTGAGGGCTGGGAGGCCTGGGAAGCTGYCCCTAGTGGGTCATGTTTGTATCTTCTTCTGTTCCAGCAGCTGTGTGTAAGTAACAGGCACATCCTCTTCCCACATAAAGGTGTTCTATCCATTTCCTGTCTGCTGGCATCTTCCCCCAGCATCACCCTCAGTAACAACACAGGAACTGACTGACAGAGGCACTAAGCAGTGATCAGCCCTGATGGAGGGAGGGGACAGGCCATTGGCTTTATTTATTTATTTATTTATTTATTTATTTATTTAATTTTTTTAGGTTTTCTTTTTTATTTATTTATTTTTTATTTTTTTAATTGGTTGTTCACAACATTACAAAGCTCTTGACATATCATATTTCATACATTAGATTAGGCCATTGGTTTTAATTGCCTTCCCTTACAGTAGGAAGTCAGTAAAGGATGCCTAAAATGGATAGRTTAAGGAAAACAATAAAAATTTAGTGATAATAAGGTAACTCCTAGAAGAACTGGGAAAAAAAACCTACATAAAGGTGGAGGCCTCTGGAGACAAGCTGAAAGAAGAGGAGAGAAGGGGCAGGGGCCATTGCTTTTCATGACGAGTCTTTTGGTGGTTTTGGGTAGTGGTTCCCTGATGATTTTTTAAATATGTAATAAACTTGATAAAATGGAAAAGGAATTCTACAGAATGGTGAGAGGGAATGGCTGGAAGAAAATTCAGGAAAGCAAGCACAGAGCAGGAATGATGTGACAGAGGGAGCTTCACAGTTTTCATAGAGACTCATTTTATTCTCTCAGACATACAAAAACCTCTGGGCTTCACTGACCCCTGAGACTTGGGGATGTTCCTCTGATTGGATCTTCATTTGTTGGCTGCTGCTCGGAGTGCCCTGGGCCCTCACTGTCCTGAGGGAAGTCATCCTCACTCATGTATGACAGACAGACATGGATGCAGAATAGTCACTGAGGTTCTGGAGCTTCCATAGACCCACCATGCAGACATTCTATCATCCTATGCACTTTAAAAATGCTAAAGCATCCTCTGTTTCCTCCTGTTTTAGTCAGTTTCTGTGCTGCTATGAATAAAGGATCTGACCAGAATAACTACAGAGGAGGAAGAGTTTATTTGAGAGCTCATGGTTCTCAGAGGTGTTAGTCCATAGAAGGCCAGCTCCATTTCTCAGGACTCGAGATGAGGCTGAACATCATGGTGGAGTGTGTGGCAGAGGGAAGCGGCTCACATCATGGTGACCAAGAAGCAGAGAGAGACTCCACTTGTCAGATACAAATTTATATACCTAAGCCACATCCCAATTTCCACCTCCTCCAGCCATACCCTACCAATTCAGTTAATCCTTAATTCACTGATCAGGCTAAGGCTATAACCCAATCATTTCTTCTCCAAACCTTCTTGCATTGTCTCATATGTGAGCTTTCGGGGGACACCTCACATCCAAACCACAATACCTTCCTTTCCCAGAGATCATGTATGGGCCCTTTTGCTTCGAAACACTGTCGTCTGTGCCTCTATCCTATCTTTCTCCACCACCCTCACCTCCCTTCAGGGCTTTAACCTAAACAAGTGAGGATTTAGTTTTGCAGTGCAGTTCCTAAACCACTAAAGATTTTGCTCAATGGAATAAGTATGGGAGGAGATTTTTTTTTAGTTCTTATTTCTGAGTTTCCCAAAGTGTGGCCTTTGGACACCAGGGCAGCTTCAGATACAGGAGTGGGAGTGGGGGGCCAGGGGTTCTACTACAGCAAGCTCTGCAGAGTTGGAACCCAAGGTACTTTTGTAATACAATGGTATTTCTGTTCTTGTATGAGAGAGAGAGAGAGAGAGAGAGAGAGAGAGAGAGAGAGAGAGATGACCTTTACATTTTTCTCCTACAACAATTCAAAAGTCTGGAATTGCCAGGCATGATGGTGCATACCTATAATCCCAGCTACTCAGGAGGCTGAGGCAGAAGGATCCCAAGTTCAAGACCCTGTCTCAAAATAAAATTTAAAAAAGAGACTAGGGATGTAGCTCAGTAGTACAGTGCCTCTGGGTTTAATCCCCATTTAAAAAAAAAAAAAAAGTCAGGAATCGGTGTCTTCTTAGTGAACAATAGAGGAATCTTCTCCAGGACATCTTGTTATATTTTAATTCACAGCCATAATAGAAGGTGGAATATAACCAGAAGGTAAACTGTCACATGCCCTGAAAGGGAAGTGAATCAAGCACCAAGAGATCCTAGAGCAGAGTGAGCCAGTTCCCATTGGTATTGGGTGAGGGAACAAGTGATAGGACTGGGCCCTGAAGGACCAGGAGGACCCACTGTGGACTGGGAGGGAGGCTCTCTGGTGGCTGGTGTCAAGGACAATAATGCAACACACTGAAAACATTTGTTTAACTGAAGCACAGAATTAGTGTGCAGGAAGTGCAGATCCACTGTATTTTGCTCAAATCCCTGGGACTAACTGGGCTTCTGAGTTTCTTGGAATTTTTCTGACACATCCAGAGGCTCTTGGGGCAAACATGCCATAAGCAAGTACCTTGGTGAAAGTTGAGTTGGAAATCAGCTTGTGGAAAGGTAGGGAGCACAGATTTTATGTTTCTTAGACTATGGATGTAACTACCTACTGTTGAAAAGGAAAAGAATGATGCTGTAAGTTGTTTATAAATAAGAATGAGATTTTCTTCTTTGTATTAAAATAGATGGTGATACAGGAAGTTCTCACTACCTTTGCAATCAGAAAATCCCCCAAATCCATTTCAGCACTCTCAGAAAAAAAAGTTTCAGATTTCAGAGCTTTTTGTATTTTGAATTTTCATCTTCAGGATGTTCACCTGGTAAAGTCTAGACAAATATTCCCAGATAAAAAGAAATTCAAAATCTGAAATATTAGTCTCAAGCATTTCCAGATGAGATATACTAAACTGGTACCTTTGTCTCTCCGAGAGGGCTTGGCTTCCTGAAGAAAGAAGGGAAAACACCCTGACATTTGGCCCATAGTAAATATGTTATAGGTGATCCCAAGGTCACAGTTATTATTATAGACCTTTCTTCGTAATCTAAAATGCTGAAATCACAATGTATCTTACAGTCAATGATTTAAAAAACATCATGACATAGTTGGCAGTGTTTGACAGTGTTTTTCTTAATAGTACATAAAATAAGGACTGGGGGTGTAGCTCCRTGGCAAACCACTTGCCTAATATGCATGAGACCCAAGGTTCAATCCCCAGCATGGAAAAAAAAGTAGTACACAAAATAATTTTGTCTCTTTCAGTCCATGATGTCTTAAATTTGCTGAAATATATTACAGTTTTTTTTTTCGGGGGGGGGAGTCTAAAGACTGTTAACTGTAGAGTAAAATTATTTTGAGTTCCAACTGATAACAAATTGTCAGATGGCAATGTAACAAAATTTGAGACAATTTCATAAATAAAGTATCTTGAGGTGAGTACACACTGGGTACATAAATATTGAAGGAATAAGGGCTCAAACAGACCCTGCCCACCTGAGGTAGATCCAAGGGTTAGTACTGGGATGGAACCAAGAGAACAGAAGAGAGCATTGTGTCCAAGGGAGGAGCAGCAGATTGATTTGCCTGTCACTGGGGTTTCAGTGACACCAATGGGGTTACAGGATGGGAGTCTGAGGCGGCAGACTGAAGGAACTTCAGATCCAGTGCACAGTGCAGAGGGGGCTCCAGGAGGTTGTGTGGAAGCCTTAGAAATTACTTTTTAAATATTTATTATTTTTTAGTAGTAGGTGGACACAATATTTTATTTTTATGTGGTACTGAGGATCAGACTCAGTGCCTCATGTGTGACAGGTGAGCACCCTACCATTGAGCCACAACTCCAGCCCCTTAGAATATGACCCTTGGGTTTACAACTCAACAGAGAAAGTAAAGGATGAAGGACCTTGCCCTAAGTGAAAATTTTTTTTCATTAACTTCTTTAAAATGTAAAAATCTGTCTTTCAGTTCAACTCTTGAAATGAGGAGGGTGAATCAATGGTGCTATTTTGTAGCCAATTAACCTGCCACCTCTTTTTCTGCCATAGATTGCCTTCTTTTAATACATCAACTTTATGGACCTGGTGCAGTTCTTCATGACTTTTCTTCAGGTAATTTCCTTCATATAAATCATACCTGTCCCTTTGATTAAGTCCTTAACTGCATAATCAGCTGTTAGCGCATAAAAGATAAAGGAATAGCCAGATGCAGTGGCACTCACCTATAATCCAGCTTGAGGCAAGAAGATTGCAAGTCAAGTCAATTTGGTAATTTAGTGAAACCCTATCTCAAAATTTAAAAGTGTGAAGGGCTGGATACAGATCAGTGCTAGAGCACCCCTGGGTTCAATCCCTAGTCCTATAAAAATTAAAATTAAAAAAAAAAGATAATAAACCTGTTTCCCAAGAGACCAAAATTACTTTATATGTATCCTGGAAAATTGCATGTCAGTTACATTAATGTAAACTCAGTCTAAGTTGACAAAARGGAAATATTTGATTTGCAGGTTCTGGCTTGGGGAGGCAGCTTTGCATGTACYCTATACTAAATTACAGATAATCTGAATCTTGGGAAGAATTTTGCACTAAATGTTAATAATGGTTACTTATGTGAGCTACATATATGCTTCCTYTTGGTTTAAGAGATAATTATTCCAGTAATTAATTATGCAGTTTTGAAGCTAAAAGTGATTTTTTTAGCCCCTGGGATTCTCTCTTTTATTTTCATAGTATTTCTTATTTTAATTTTATTTTTCTGGAAATACTATTTAGAGACAATTGAAAAAGATGAAAATGTGCTGCCATGCTTTATAAGAGAAAGTAACAGCAGCCTGCCTCACACCTTCCCACTCCCTTCGCCCCCAATTTAAATTGTTCT